GATCCCGGGACTCCAGGATCATGACCTGAGCCGAAGGCAGTCGCTTAACCAACTGAGCCACCCAGGCGCCCCCTGACTTTTTTTTTTAAGATTTATTTTTATTAGGAGAAAGAGAGGGAGAGGGGAAGAAAATCTTCAGGCAGACTCCCTGCTGAGTGTGGAGCCCAACATGGGGCTTGATCCCAAGACCCCAAGATCATGACCTGAGCCAAAATCAAGAGTCGGACGCTCAACTGACTGAGCCACCCAGGTTCCCCTAGAATGCCCTGACTTTGAATTCCATTTGCAGGCTGTATGAAATCTTAGAACTGGCGGAAGACATGGAAATTGACATCCCCCACGTGTGGCTCTACCTAGCAGAACTCGTAACGCCCATTCTGCAGGAAGGTGGGGTACCTATGGGGGAGCTGTTCAGGTAAGCCCCCTTTTTGGGATTCAGGGGAGGTAAAGACAAAGTTGGGGAGGGGAGGCATATATGGCAGGTACAATGCCTGGGTTTAGGGAGGGATGGGGTAGTGTACTGAGAGGGCTTTGGAGGCTGTCAACACTCACTGTATTTTTCTTTCCCTGTAGGGAGATTACAAAACCTCTGAGACCCCTGGGCAAAGCTACTTCCCTGTTGCTGGAGATCCTGGGGCTTCTATGTAAAAGCATGGTAAGTAAGAGCCTTTTGGGGGTGATGTGTCAGGACTTCTCTTCCCACCATGCGGTTTGGGCTGGTTACGGTGACTCTGGTGCCTCATGGCCCTTTGGTGGGATGGGGTTAATGGTGATGGTGTGCTGTGTTGGTCCCTGGGAGAGGAAACGTCGAGGCTGGCACTCTCAGACCAGTTCCTGTCGTGAGTTCTGGACAAGACTGGGGGAGAACAGCAATCTAAGACCCTAAGTCCTTGATTGATTGATTCATTCATTCAACTAGCATTTTTTTTTTTAAACATTTACCAACCACATACTAGGCACTGGGAATACCACAGTGAATAAAACAGTTAGGAAACCAGCTGGAAGAGAAAAGTAAGAAATGACAGCTTAATAAACACAGTGTGAAGTAAAGCATGAAATAAAATAGTTGAAATGGAGTGTCTTGGGTACTGTGAGGTTGCAAAGGAGTGTCTCTTTGGTGATGTTCATGACAGAAAGCTTTCCCAGAAGGGCGCTGGAACTGCTTTGTGAAAGTTAAGTGGTGACTAGCAAATGTCACGGAGAGACGGGAAAGGCAAGTGGGTGGGGCACTCCGTGGTCGAGAGAGCTGGGAAGAGCACTTTAGGAGTTTAGCTGCCCCTAGGGCCTGGACAGATAGACTTGAGTGGAAAGGAATTGTTCTAAAAGCCTGTATTAGGGTAGTTTGTTTTAAAAAAAAGAGAGGTATATTGAATTATGTGTATTACATTGAATCTGTGGTGCAGCAGGTTGTAGGACATGTTACTGCTACACTGTTGATAAGGAAAAGACTTACGGTCATTTGTTTAAATGTAATGTATCAATTGTGAGATGAGACTCAGTGGTGTATTAGAATGAGCATCTTTAAAATTCGTGAACTATGGTAGTCTTATTAAGCGTCAGTGTCATCATTCTGAATATCTGCTGCTATAAAGAGTAATGCCTTCAGAATCTCTTGTCCCCTCACAGAAAATGGGCTCAGACTGTTGTTTATGTGAGGATTTCTGATTTGCAGTGGGGGTTGTGGGAGTATATCTGCTTCTAAAATTTTCTGGGCTTGGTAACCAAAAAGGCATATTTGTTAGAAGTTGTCCGCTCCCATGAGCATTTGTTTGCTTGGAATAATGAAAGACTAAGCTATTTTAGAAAAAGAATCGTAGAGGAGTGTGGAAGGCTAAGATGAGTTGTGTGGATTTGGTTTTTTACCTTTTTCAGTAAAGGTAATTCTGTGAAAGCTAATTGACCTCTTCTGTAGAGGCTCTTAGGCTATTCCCCCCGCCCCCCC